TTTTCGAATTTTAAAATGCCTTTCTACATGACATCAGATGCTAGCGCCATCGGCATAGATGCCGTACCAGCGCAAAAGCCTGACAGCAGGTATAACTCAATTGCATTTGCTAGTCGAGTCTTAACCAAGTCTGAACGAACTTATTCTTTAACTGAACAAGAAGCATTGGGTATTGTTTAGGCTTTAAAACACTTCTGAGATGTCTAACAGTACCCAGCCCATGTCTGGACAGATCATGCTCCACTGATTCCCTTGTTCCAGAATAAACAGCCTACTGGACGATTAGCAAGATAATCCTTGACCATACAAGACTTCAATTCAGCCTTTATACACTTTCCTGGCAAGACGAATGTGATCATGCCTTATCATGCCACATTAGTGCAGTAATAGTTGGTCCTCTATTTAGTGCAGAGGATGTTAAAATTTTTCAAGCAACAAATATCACATGGTCTGGTGTAATTCCATTCTTGATGAAGGAAGATCGAAATGTGTGAAACTACTAGCTCTTATCAGTGAATTTATCATGAACCAAGATTTGATTTACCGAGCAGCTGAGCTTAATACCCCTAGCCGAAGAGTGCATCAGTTAGGTATTCCAGAGTCACTAGCGCCTGTAGCCCTGCAGCTAGTTCACGATGTACCAGGTGTTGGCCACCCCTCACACGGATCATTCTGTTAAACAAGCTAGGTTGAAATATTTTTGGCCTTGTATGACAAGCGATATTTCGGGGTATGTAAAGAAATGTAAAATATGCATGGAACACAAAGGTAATGTTGGAGATTCTAACCCTATTCAGGTTTATCGTACTGCCAGGAAACCATGGACTATCAATTGACATGTTGACCAATTTCCAGCGTTCTCTTCCAAGGTAATAAGTATTTATGTGTGATGGTTGGTCACTTCACACGATACTGTGAGTTAGTACATATTGCAGATAAAACTGCAGAGGCAGTAGCTAAATTATTTAAAAAACAATTTATCAGCAGACAAAGTACTACAGAGTCTCTTGATTCAGATAATGGAGGTGAATTTTGTAACGAGATCCAAATACCACAACACACACACATATATATACATATTCATTCATTCATTCATTCATTCATCAGTCTCTGACCAGTCTATTACCCCTCGTAGTGTCTGCATGATCCTCACGACGCCCCACCACGTAATAACCGCCTGTACCACCCATCGCCGCACGGGTCACAATTGCTTGCCCACACTCTAGGGAATATTGGATGAGGGGTCGGGCGTGGAAGGGAGTGAACTTGATGGCAGTGTAACCATGCCAAGTGCCCGTTTGACAAGCTTAACGACCCTCGCACTCGTTGACCAGACACCATAAAAGTAGTGACCGCCTCTCTCATGTACCCATTGTGAAGATTCTGGTCTCCCATCGCTCCTGTGTCAGGGTGGAGACCAGAAATAAAGCAATTACATAGTGCTTCTCGAGGGGGCGAGTGTTACCGTAAATAAGGGAGTCGGATAATTCTTCTCTTCAAGGAGTTGGACACTACCCAAAATAAGGGAACTGAGTAGCTCACTTTAAGAAGTTGGCTAATACCCAAAATAAGGGAATTAATTAGCCCACTTTGAGAGTTTGGGTACTACCCAAAATAAGGGAACTTAGTATCCCACTTTAAGGGGTTGGATACTTCCCAAAATAAGGGAACCTAGTAGTCCACTTCAAGGTGTAGATGCCTTGATGCTGGTGAGAGGCTCTTGATCCGAGGAATTGTAGTTAAGCTCTTCTTCATCGGATCACACCTGATTAACTGCCATTACCCGAGCGCTTTTTTACCCTATTAAAAATAATAATGTGTAACGAGTTTCGCGACACACGTTGTTGCATGTTTTTCAACACACACTGCTGCAGCAGCTGCATCAACAGCAGCAGCAGCAGCAGCAGTAGTAGTAGTAGCTTGTTCATCTTGCAGTGTTTCCCAGAGACAATAATAGCAGACTGTTGTCGTCACGCACATTGTATCTCTTAATGTCAACCTCAAAACTCTCCTTAATATTCCTAAAAGCTTTTCTTCGCTCCTGATAGACTTATATTTCATCTGTCTGTCGTTCTGCATCAAAATGAGAATCTTCTTACAGTGCTTTTAAACTATGTCCAGAAAGTTTCCTGTGCTACAGCATTGCCGTCATTGCTCTGTTGTAGACAGAGTTTCCTGGGCTGTAACATTGCTATCATTTCTCTGTTGTTGAGATAGTTTCTTGAGCTACAATATAGATTACACTCTCTGACTTTTCATAAGATGGCGGTGGGTGAGTCAGTTCTGGCCAAATAGTGAGATTATACTTTCCCACAGTTGATAACAATTAATATCTGGAGATATATATTATGTGAGTGTGTTTACTAAAACAGATAGATGTTATTCTAGATCACCGACGTATTTATGAAGAAAATAGATGTGTGTATAATGTGTGTGTTTGAGATTATTCCATATGACGTGAAGTACTTCAAAGTATTATATACAGGTTGAAAGGAAATTAGAGAAAACAAAGAGGAAATAATATTCCCTTGCTGTGTGTTAGATAATATACTCAGCTGGCAGGTGAGGTGAGGTGCCACCTATGGTGCCGACCTTTCGTGACGACATTATACTCGACTCGAAAGAGGTCGAGTTGGAGGATACTAGGTCCCCTGGTGGCTGACACCTGACGTAGCGGTCACACACGCTCCCCGTAGAGAATTAGCACTGTTCCTGGGATGTTTGACGCCTGAGAATACCAAGCGATACGACCAGTCCATTTGTGTTATCATTCTGGTGTGATGGGAAGCTGTGTATGGGGCGTCACGGTGAGACACTGTTGCGTGGGAAACATAGAGGACACCTCTCTAAAGGTTCTTACTGAATAACGCAGAGAAGGAAGGCCACCTTTACTATCCTCTTGAATTCACTCTCTTAGACTTTACACAGGGTAAATTAAGAACGTATTTCTGCAAATGCAAGCGTTTATATCAAATATTAATACATATATCTGCTGATAGAAGAGTATACATGAACAAAACGTATGCTTGTTTTTATGAGTTTGTGTATGAATATCAGCTGAATACTTAGTTGAAGACTAGTGTTAAGTCAACACTAACTTCATACTTTCGTTAATACAGCCAACAGTAACTTTATACTTTTGTTAATACAGTCAACAGTAACTTTATACTTTCGTTAATACAGTCAACAGTAACTTTATACTTTCGTTAATACAGTCAACAGTAACTTTATACTTTCGTTAATACAGTCAACAGTAACTTTATACTTTCGTTAATACAGTCAACAGTAACTTTATACTTTCGTTAATACAGTCAACAGTAACTTTATACTTTCGTTAATACAGCCAACAGTAACTTTATACTTTTGTTAATACAGTCAACAGTAACTTTATACTTTCGTTAATACAGTCAACAGTAACTTTATACTTTCGTTAATACAGTCAACAGTAACTTTATACTTTCGTTAATACAGTCAACAGTAACTTTATACTTTCGTTAATACAGTCAACAGTAACTTTATACTTTCGTTAATACAGTCAACAGTAACTTTATACTTTCGTTAATACAGCCAACAGTAACTTTATACTTTCGTTAATACAGTCAACAGTAACTTTATACTTTCGTTAATACAGTCAACAGTAACTTTATACTTTCGTTAATACAGTCAACAGTAACTTTATACTTTCGTTAATACAGTCAACAGTAACTTTATACTTTCGTTAATACAGTCAACAGTAACTTTATACTTTCGTTAATGCAGTCAACAGTAGCTTTATACTTTCGTTAATACAGTCAACAGTAACTTTATACTTTCGTTAATACAGCCAACAGTAACTTTATACTTTCGTTAATACAGTCAACAGTAACTTTATACTTTCGTTAATACAGTCAACAGTAACTTTATACTTTCGTTAATACAGTCAACAGTAACTTTATACTTTCGTTAATACAGTCAACAGTAAATTTATACTTTCGTTAATACAGTCAACAGTAACTTTATGCTTTCGTTAATACAGTCAACAGTAACTTTATACTTTCGTTAATACAGTCAACAGTAACTTTATACTTTCGTTAATACAGTCAACAGTAACTTTATACTTTCGTTAATACAGTCAACAGTAATTTTATACTTTCGTTAATACAGTCAACAGTAACTTTATACTTTCGTTAATACAGTCAACAGTAACTTTATACTTTCGTTAATACAGTCAACAGTAACTTTATACTTTCGTTAATACAGTCAACAGCAACTTTATACTTTCGTTAATACAGTCAACAGTAACTTTATACTTTCGTTAATACAGTCAACAGTAACTTTTTACTTTCGTTAATACAGTCAACAGTAACTTTATACTTTCGTTAATACAGTCAACAGTAACTTTTTACTTTCGTTAATACAGTCAACAGTAACTTTTTATTTTCGTTAATTCAGTCAACAGTAACTTTATACTTTCGTTAATACAGTCAACAGTAACTTTTTACTTTCATTAATACAGTACAAGCTGAATAAGAATTTCATTTTTCTTTGAATGCGATTGAAATTGATTTGTAAGTGAGATATTAGCAGTACGTGAATGATTTGTGTTATGAGCGCATTGCAAATAATAAATACAAAATTGTTTTGTTTTGAGAGCAGAACAGACAGTTTCTTTGTAAAAGAGTGTAACGTGAACAATTAGTGAATAATTTTAATATATGTGAAGTGAACGGTGAGTGGATATTACTGTTAATACGAGTGTAAAGAAGAGAGTAAGTGTACACTTACATTATTAAGAAGTTGACTGGTGAAAGAAGTAAGGTTACGGAGCTTTTTTATCCCTATATAATAGTTCCTCTTGATAGTTTTATTTTAATAAAAATCGGGTTAATACATTTTTACCATTCTGAAGAAACACATGTATATAGTTTAAATTGGCCACTTTATATTTTTTTTTAATAATGATGGCTCCTAAACTGAAAATTTAGATATTAACTAATACTGAATATCTTGTGCTCCCCCAGTTCTCATTCCAAGACCCTAATGCTGCCAAGGGTCTCTTCCCAAATGCCAAGGGTCACCAGAAGATTGACAAGGTCGCCCACGTCGGCCAGGTGGTGAGTACCCTCTTTGATGTATCTTCTTTCAGGAAATCGCAGATGTCACTTTCATCCTCAGGTCAAATGTTCCTCTTTTCATGATGCTGCAGATGTCAGACTCGTCTTCAGGTAAGGTTACTAGCCAGACTCTCATCATCAATCTGGGGAACACAAGAATAAAAACAGGACCGCGAAACATGCGAAACACGCTCTCTTGATATTTTAATTACTGCTTACATGGTGGGTAGGGGACGCATAATGAAACTTCAACTACAACGGTTCACAGGAATATTACCTAGTCTGCGTTTCTGAAGAATTTGTATAGCACTGTGTCCAGAGTTTCAGAGATTTAGAGTTAATATGTTGTATTCTGGTCTTGTAAATAAGAGCTGTGAGCTAAGATATAACTTATTTCATATGTAGGCTGTGCTGACACCCTTCTCGTGATGATCGTGCTTCAGCCTTCCGTGTATTTCTTGCAGTATATCAAGCCTTGTGTATTTAGCCTTTGGTTTTAACATTTACTTATTTGAAGTAAGTATAGCTGGTTTTCGCTTGCATTATAAACCCTAAGACCTCGGTGACCCAACGAGATGTTTAAAGCTTGGGAGCTGATATACATTACATAACAAAACACATTGATAAGCTAATGAGAATTTGTTTCGTAACCAAGGTATTGATGTGATTGGTCATATGTACACATTAAAAGTCTAAGAAATAGTTTATACTAAAATAAACTTTTAGTGTTTGGGCACACTCACTAGATACATAAACACGTGTTTAACAGTTACATGTACACATGTTCAGTAGGTAAATACATGTACATGTGTTCTACAGATGCATTTTAATAATGTTTCTGTCGCGAAATTAAGGGAAATCTTTAATTATACAAGTCATTTATTTATTATTTGTCAGTTAGTTTAGAAAAAAAATTATTGGCATCTTAAATACTGTAATACACAGTAATTTTTTTCCCTTGCTCTAACGAAGTGTTTTGAAATGGTATTATATAAATTGTTGAAAATACTGCATAGAGGTTTCCATTGGGGATACAATTTGGAGGAACTGAAGCCTGGTTTGAAGCATCCACACCAAATCGTTTAGTTAGTTGTTGCCGTCAAAGTACTGTAATTTTTATTATTCTTTGAATATAGTCTCTACAGGTATTTAGAAGTGATGTTTTCATGACATAAACAGTGATATCCCTTTTTTTTCTCTCTCAAGGGTTTACCAGGTGTCCAGTACAGAGAAGAACGGTACAAGATAAGGAGGAGTTTGGGGTAATCAGTCCCTCAGCCTTAAGTCTGTCAGACACAGCAACATCTTGGGATCTAGATGCAGGGAATTCTTCTAAGCTTGCCTACCTTAGGCATGACCTGCTTCCATTAGTGGGTTTCTCTACTGATGACTCCGCCCCAGCACTTCATCTTATCTGTCTGCAGTATATAAGTCCGTTCTAGCTGATATGTTGTACTTTTATCAAGATGGATTGATCACACCTACTCAAGGCTGAGGGACTGATTGCATCAAACTCCCCCTCATCTTCCACCGTTTTTCTCTTCATTGGACTGAAGAAACCACTGGGTGGCGAAACGTTTCCAGAATAAAAATACCCAAATGTTGCCCAAGTTTCTCAGTTTTCAACTTGGTTTTCTAAATCATTTATACAAAAATCAGGTATCCACTGTATAATGGATATTTGATTTTGTTCTAGTTTTTGTGCGAGAACTTGAACGCCCCAAGATTTTAGCACTGGTGTATGTTGGTGAAAAGTTTAGATTGCTATTGGGATGTGTAAGTGACAGTCTGCCATTTATATATACATAAAATAATGGTAACTTCAGAATGTCTCCTTATATCTTACCATAAGAAAAGTTCGGATTTGTATTAGGCTTTGTAGATGCTAATATGCCAGTTTTATTAACGAAAATGGTGGTACCAAACTTAATCTTCTGGAGCGGTAACTAATTGATGTATTAAACTGAAAAAAAATAATATCGCCATATCGCTTTTATAATATTTGCAACTATTTTAAGCAGTTCTCATTAACTGTTTAGAAGATAATAATTTCTGTCGTACTTATAACAGTTTCAGAAAATGAGGCTGTTTTAAATTTTTAATTTTATATATTTTTTAAGTGCTATGCTCAGCACATCTTACAGAGAACATCTGTCTTCAACTCCTCTCATTGAAGTAATAGTGGAAAAATCTAATACTTGACTCTACAGATATGGCGGAAAATTCTAATACTTAACTCTACGGATATGGCCAACCCATTTTCATCTGATTCGTCCCTTATTTTGCTATGCTTGGTTGAATTCCAACTCCTGGGCCTCTTAAGAATATTGATTTACAGCTCTTGTGCCTCTTGAGTATGTTGGCCTACAGCTCCATTGTCTTTTATATATGTTAAGATACAACTTTTCCCCTTCGGTGGACCACAGAAGTGTTGATCTTCAACTCTTGGAGTTCTTGGAGGGTGTTAAATTACATCTTTTCAAGGAGTTCAGCTGCAGCTCCTCTGCCTCTTGAATTCTTTAGAAGTACAGCTATAATGCCTGTTGTGTGTTGATGGGCAGGAGACTGTTTGTTTCGGAATACGGCGCATACCTGTCGCAGATTGAGCAATCGAACAGAACTAATTTAGTTTTTGAGAAATAAAACACCTGTTCAACTCTAGTGATCTTTATTAACGATACATTTCGCTTGCGCTGCAGGCTTCATCAGTCGAAAATTTAAGATGCATACCACTCCTGGAGTCATCAACCTTGATGGTAGGCGAAGTGAAGATGTAATTTGATGCAGTCCATCACTCCATGTGCAAGATGATAGCCTGAAGAAGCAGCAGCTGCCAGGAGTATTAGGTGTAGCAGTTTGGAGGTGAGGTTACAGGTGAGGTGGGATCATTAGTAGAGGCAGAGATGTATTCAGAAACTCCTGTTTACTAATATCTGTTTAGCATGACCTACTTTCACTTGTGGACCCAGCTCACCTGTTACCTCATCTCCAGACTGATACACTTCATCCTCCTGTATATAAGCCTCTGGTCAAATGCCTCTGCTTAAGGCTAAGAGATTAATAATTTTGCACATAGGGTAATGGACCGATTCCATCAGCTTACCTCTTCACTTCATCTACCTCGTTTTCCATCAGTGCTTTTGTCTCCCGCAGTGTGATTCATCACTGTATTTGACAGGTCAGGTCTGCAGTGCAAGCGAAACGTTTTGTTAATAAAGATTCCTAGTGTTGCACATGTGTTTTAATTATCAACTTGTTGTTTTGTGTTCGATTTATAATATGATCATTTAGTTTTTATTCAGATTCCTGTAGCTCTTATCTTATTTATTTGGTTATTCCAAGTTTATTTACACACGTTATTATATAAGACAATTGTAAAAATCAACGTGTGTATTGAACCAGGATAAAATTTATGTCACATAATAAGACACTTGCTTTGTTTTCTCAAGTTATCCAAGTTTAACAACCCTCGGGGTAAGTAATCCGAAGGAAGATATCTTCTCTTGTTTATTTTTCTTGACATCAACATGTGATATCGAAAAACGGCTTATAACAGTTATAAAAATTACCAGTATATCTGGCCAAACTATGATCGAAGAAACTCTTCCATGAGTTGAAATTCTTTAGCTGTTCCTATAGCCAAGTTTTCTTTAGATGTTTTTCCATGAGCCGCATAGAAAACGAATTCGTTTTATTTGGGGACTCTAGCATTTTTAAAAATAAATTCTTAGTGTTGAAGAAGATAATTGTATTCGGGTTAGTAACCCAGTAAAGCCACTCTGCCGGATTTCCACTGCAGTCCTTTCATCCCCTTTCCTAGGAAGCAACCCAAAAATATATCTGACACACACTATTTATACTTACTGTTAAGTGAACAGGTTCAAGGAAATATATTTAGCGTTTCCACTACTGCTGAGATCGAACCAAAATCCTTCAAATGTACGCTGAAGGCGTTACCCTTTCAGCCAGGGGTGTTTTGATGTAATAAGTGAAGGTTAATGGAAAGAAATGGTATAAAATACCGTCACGATGGATAAAGACACAGACGAAGTATAATGCGATCCTTAATCGTCAACGATTCACCCCTCACGGAAGTCTTTATCAAGTGATATTATAAAGTCTGCTGTGTGGGCGAAATGTTGTCAGTAATGGATCGCATTACACTACATTTTTATCTTTATCCAGCGAAGGCTAATATCTAGTTTAGAGGCTCCAGTTGTTTATTATGTAAACTCCACAATATTAAGCGTGTTATGTAAATGGAAAGAGTTATATTTTGAGTCAGTGAGGGTAAAACTTTTTTTTGCCCGGGGTGGGGTCCTAGAATATACTTAAGCGAACTTAACTCAAACATAAACTTACCTTAAAATCTAGGTTAAGTTTCGTTAGGTAGGGCTGCTTTTTTTTTTTTTGTCTACCAAAAATATAACTATCTTCAGTGCACAATCCACTTGATAATTGAGAAGTTACGTAACAGGTTATCACTCAGCTCAAAACCCAGCCCGAAATTCTGTATTAACCTATCAGTTTACAAATTATATGATAGGTAAATAAGATATGCGTTTCACTTGTTAATAAAAAAATTATTTCTATTTAGGACAGCATATACTAGGGGAAATAATATGCTAATTAACTATTTGTAACATGGATACCTGGCGCTAAATTGCTGTTGTTAGTCGCCTCATGAGAAAGACGACCAAGTACGAACAGAGTCTATGTTTTCTGCAGTTAAAATAGTCAGTGTGACTCCTGTGTGTTGTGCTGTTTACTGTGTTCTCATAGTGAGACACATACAGTATACATGCCGTTTGATATTCAAATCAATGATATTAAACATAGTAAAGGCAATACACACACACGGAACCACACACACACACACACACATATTAATATATATATATATATATATATATTATATAAATATATAAAATATATATTATATATATATATATAATAGAATATATATATATTAAATAAAATAACATCCACCATCCATCCATAAAACATACATACATACGAATATTAAATAATATTATATAAATAATATTATAATATATTATTTTATTATATATATATATATATATATATATATAATATATATAATATATATATATGCCCAGCAGTAAGGGACCACTCCAACTATGCAGATCTGATGGCAGCCAGAAGCGTCCAGATGGTATCACC